TCGCTTCGGGGTACGTCTGCCCTCAATTCTAAAACTAGAATTGAGCTCGATATAATATAGATATCACCTGTAGAGTTGAAACGTTTGTACAAGGATAGACAAGCAAAATATACAAACAAAATCTCTGGTTGTTGATGATGCTTTCTCTCCTTGTTTCTTGATTCAAGTTGAATCAAGTCCTCCGATTGTTGTGAATAGACCTCCAATTACAGCCCCTTTGTTGAATAACCTTGCGTTCTTCAAACCCTCGACGCGGCTGATCTCAAACACCAACAAATCGAACCCGAATCTCTCCTACGCAATTCACCGTTTACCGCTACTAGATTGACCGAACACGCCGTTCCTCAATCACCTTTGCTCAGCTGAATGTTGTAGAGACGATTCGTACCAAAAACCCCCAAATTCGACGAACCTTGGAGGGAAAAACCTTCAAGGTTTTATTCAAGAAAAACCTACCCCAAACTCAACCCGAACCTGATTTCCAATCGATGGCTTCGGACGTTATCACCTTGAACAGACCACAATGCACAACAAAAATTGTTATGTGTAATTGTTGTGTTGTGAAATGTTGAGGATGAAGATGAAGAGAGAACTAGGGCACCTATTTCACTTTTCTTGTTCTTGTGCAATTGACTTAATGTTTTCAATTGTTAATGAGAAAAGAACAGAAAACTATTATATATAGTAACCAAGAACCAACAGACTTAACCACTTTTCAAACAAAGTGGAAAGTCTTCAGCAACAACATAAACGAGTGAACGGTCGACCATAGCAGGACTATGCGTTCATGCATAGCCTACAGTTTTAGGCAGATTCAAAATCTTAATAGCATGCGTCGACCATAGGTCAGCGTGCACCGACCCGTGGGAAATTTCACTACTCCATGCGCTGACTATGCGTCGACCTGTGGTCGACTCAAAGCCTACAGATTTGCACAAATGCTTGCTTTTGTGGATTTTATGCTTCCAGGCATGACCAATGATCTTCCACCTATATTGAATCTTAATATGGCAAGTTAGATGGACATAAGAAGGATATGAAAGATGTGATATGCATTTTCCTTGTGATGGTAGAGTTGAAGGACCGATTCATCCATGATTGCGTTTTGTCATTATCGAAACCCAAGTATGTATGGTACATGAGGATTTGCCCTCACAGATAGTAGTGCAGCTACAAAAAAGAAGTACTCAATGTTAAAGTTGCAAAAGGACATGTCAAATTACAAATGGGAAGTAGGAATGTATTTTAGTAGAAAATGTCATTTTAAGGAAACAATAACTTCATATGTTGTCCAATCTGGTAGAAACCTTAAGTTCATTAAAAATAACAAAATAAGGGTAAGGGTTAGATGTAAATATGTTTGTGAGTGGGAAGCATATTATGCCAAGTTGCCAAATGAGGAATCTTGGCAACTAAGGAAGGTAGATGATAAATATAACTGTAGCAGAGAGTATAATGTGAAGATTATGACTACTAAATGGTTGAGTAAGAGGATTCCAAATTCCTTAAAAAAAACATAGGATGAAGATTAAGGATATAAAGGAAAAGACACATAGGAAGTGGAATGTAGGGGTTAACAAGACTGAGGTAATAAGGGCTAGATTTGCAGCTAGAGACATTGTTAATGGCTCTTTCTTAGGGATTACACTAGAATTTATGACTATTGTTATGAAATATTAACAATAAACCTAGAGTCAACAGTCAAACTAAATGGCGATCTTGTTCAAAAGGGTATCGATGATCACATATCCCATTTTAGAAGCATGTATATATGTTATGCAACATGTAAGGAGAGCTTCAAGTTATGTAGACATTTCATAGGCCTTGATGGTTGATTTTTAAAGGGTTTTTGTGGTGGGAAAATGTCGGCAGCCATATGTAGAGATCCTAATGATCAAATGCTTCTAATAGCTTTTTAAGTTGTAGAGAGTGAAACTAAAGATGATTGGGTATGGTTTTTAGAGCTCTTGATTGATGATCTTGTACGTAAAATTGAGTGTCTCTCGTACACATATATTTTAGATCAACAAAAGGTATACTCATTATTGATTTTTTTATGTTATACTCATTATTGGTGTGTGATTGTATATTGTATTGCAGGGTCTATTACCTGCAATGGATGAGCTTTTGACTAATGTTGAACAAATATTATGTGTAAGGCACATGTAAAACAAATTTAGGAAGAGGTATCCTATAAATATGTTAAAAGGAATTATATGGAAGGATGCAAAATCGATCTACTCACAAGCATGGGAAAGATAAACGAAGGGAATAATAGTGGTCAATGAAGATGCATTTAAACACATGATGAATACCCCACCAAGATTTGGGAGTAAATCCTATTTTAAGACACATAAAAAGTGTGATTTTTTTCTCAATAACATGCCAGAAGATTTTAATGGTCTTATTCTTGAGTTAAGGGCTAAGCCATTAGTAACCATGTTGGAAGAGATCAAAACCTACATTATGAATAGGTGGGAAACCAATAGGATGAGATTTCAAAGCTTGGCCGATGGTGATGTTTTACCTAGCATTAGAAGAAACGTTGAGAGAACCAGCACATACACCAACTTATGACTTGTCAGGTATGTATCATTTCAAAATTTAAATATTAATGTTGTGCAATGTCAGCTGAACACATATAAAATGATACATGAATACATGTTATAGAATATCAATTGAACATATCTTTGAAGTGAGGCACATTGAAAATCCAGCAGAAAAGTTTTCTGTAAATTTAAAGGAACGTGTATGTTCTTGCAAAAGATGGGAACTGACGGGCCTTTCATGTGTTCATGCATTGTCATGTATGAAGAGTATGAACCTTAACATTGATCACTATATCACTGAGTATTATAGTAAATTAAGGTACATATCATTCTACAATCATGTGATTTATTCTATAAATGGATCAAACTTGTGGGTTAGGACAATATAGTCAACAAGATACTTTAAGACCTCAAGGAAGTAAGACAACTCAAGTAAGGGAAAAGAAGTTAAGTCATATGAGGGGATCAACACCATTTGTTCCCCCAGGCCCTACAACTAGATTAGGTGCATCCGAGAATGTTGTTGGCCCAACGACAAAGAGGAATAATCCAACAAAAAGATTTACATCAAAGAAGAACATTTAGTTTAACTATGACTTGTCTGTTGAATGGTTTTAATTGTATTTAGAACCTTTTTTGGAACCTTTTTGAATGTTTTTTGTTTGTTAAATTATTCCTATCATAATGTTAGCATAATGTTAGTTTGAATCCTGTCAATTATGCAATGTTTATTGAACATGTCAATTGTGTAATGTGTATTTGACATGTGTATTGAACATTTCAATGTTTAATTTCAATTATGCAACAATTTATGTTTGTCAAATTAGTGTATGTTTCTCAATTCGGTATTACATTTAGTGGTATATATTCAGTGCTATAATCGGAATGGTATAAAATGGTTTGGTATAATTAGAGGTGGCAATAAAATTCATTTAGATATTATCCATCCAATCCATCCAATCCATCCATAAGACAAAAAATAATTTAATGGATTTGATACAATCCATCCACTAACTCATATGGATGGATTCAATCCATCCATCTCATTTTATAAATCCATTGGATCTTATATTATCACTTGTAAAATTAATTAAATATACTATTTTTGTAAAAAAAACATTAAACATTTTAATTAAATAATTTTCTTTATTTTAAACACAAAATAATTTTCTTCTTCTTCTTCCTAAATTTTACTTAGAAAGTTTCTTCTTCTTCAAATTACTCTCTAAACTAAGAACCCTAATTTCTTCTCCAAATTTTTTCTTCTCCAAATTTCTGTCTAAACCAAGAACCTTAATTTCGTCTCCAAATTTATTCTTCTTTAAATTTCTTCTTCTCTCAATTTCGTTTTAATATCAAGCACTAGTAATTCATCTCAACGTTTCGGTGCTTCAATCGCCATTCATCTTAACAATTGGGTGCTACAATTGCAACGTTTCGGTGCTACAATATCCCAAATTCAAATCAGCAACAAACCGTTTTCGTAATTGTTGTGGCTGGATATTCCCTCTTTAGCTATCTAATATGGCTTCTTACTCGACATTCGGTAATATTTTTGTGTTATGTTATATGAATTGTGTTCTGCTATATGAATTAGTTTTCACCCATTTTCTCCAGTTCTAATTATTCCGGTGTAACCAATTTTAAGATAGAAATATGGTTTCAAGTGTTATTGATTGATTATACTTGGTTAAAAAACTGCAAATACATATATACTTGGTTTCAAGTGTTTTAAAATTATCAATTGGAGACATTTGTTTGGAAATGGTGATTCTAACTACTCTGTTGTAACTATTTTTAAGGTTTATAGATGTTCTTAGAATTATAAGGATTTTGCATGTTAGAGATGATTATTTTAAGATAGAAATATGGTTTCAAGTGTTATTTTGATTATGCTTGGTTAAGAACTTGCAAATAATGATACTTTATTAGAGATGATTATAATTACTATAGGATTTTGCATCTTAGAGATGACTTTGGAACCAACAGGAGCAGAACCAATAAGAACAGTGAGAGCTGGTTTTGGTTTGCAAACAATAAGGATATTACTACTTACAAACAATAAGAACAGTGAGAGCTGGTTTTGGTTCCAAAGTCATTTTAGTGATTAGAGAAAAAAACTATTAATTTTGTTTTTACCTAACTAAAACTTTAGGAATAGTTAGTTTAGGATAAGGTACAGAGTATGAGAGTAGATTTTGAATTAAGATTCCATATAGGCTAGATATATGGCTGCTTCAGTGTTGCCTTGTTCACCTTTCTTCTCTTTCATATAACTAAATGATGGTTTGATTGGAGTACGAGCAAGTCCTTTAGTGGAAATTAAGAACATTATGGTTGTTGCTGCACTAGGAGCCAACAAATTGATTCATCCCTTTCAATTCAAAACATCACCTTTTAGTTTTCATATTAATTTCCCAAAGAACTATGCATTGCAGAAGTCCTTCAGTGTCAGTTTTTGATGCGTCTCAAGGTAAGATAAGCCAATAATCTGTAAAACACAAACATGAAAAACAACACTCCAATGCTTCCCATTGGGCCCATTTGACCCACCACATCTTCATCAAGAAATTTGCAGTTAGCTCCATCAATATTACTACTATCATGATTGCAGCCCAATAGATATGCAATTTTCTTGCCATCACCATATTGAATTCTAGTCAAAAGCCTGTAACTATAGAATGTCGTGGATATATATTTGATCCAAGCAACACAAGATGGAACCTTATGAACATAGTATCCACCTGTTAAAACAAATGCTAGCATTGTAACTGCTGCAATTGTGGAAGCTTGTTTAGCATCCATTATTGCAGCACCTAAAGCAAGTCCAAGACCTTGGGATACAAGCACGAATAAAAGAACAACCATTAATGTCAAGAGAAAAGACAACAAATCAGGCTTCAATCCACCCATCCAGTATGTAATAATGAGGAAAGTTGTTGGAATACACCCCAAAAGATTGAAATGAAGAAGAGTAATCCAAGCCTATCTTGAATGTTCATATAGTCTGAATGCCACCACATTAAACCAACTAGTAATGCAGCAGCAACAACTTATACCTATACCATTTATAATGACTTATTGAATCTTCCCCTGTTGATCTAGATTCTGGAGTTTTGTTAGGCTGAGTCCATTCTTGATTTTGATGGTAGTCTGTATGTGTGCTATTATATATTGCAAGAACTTCTTGTAATTAGTTTTCATTCGTGTCGTTGGGTTCACTTGAGTATGCATGTGTCCAAATTTGCATGAGAATGCATTCAATATCAGCTGTTTGAAACCACTTTAATAGCCTTGACAGAGCAGGCAAAATGTATTCAGCTCTTATACCAATTAGAACTCGAAATCCAGCAAAATGGGTGTCTTGTCTCTGTAATGAGGCAACTTTCGTGTCATTTTGTGTGTATTTAAGTTGTCGGTAAGTTATACATAATCACAAGATATCAATATAATTTTAACAAAAGCTACCCTATAGTTATTACTATCAAACTTTATGCTTAACAATTGGCAGCAGCAGTAGCCTTCTTCCTAATTGCCACTGACTTATTTCAAACAAATTATTACATAAATTCCATGATAGACAATGATTTCATTTGTAAAATTTTCAATGACATTATTCCTATCATGGAATATATGATTGAATCCCTTGATAGCTTTGAAAGAGGTTGATGAGGAGGAAAATAATAATATTTGGAAGAACATCTGGAATCTCAATGTGCATGAGTGTATTAAGTTGTTTGTTTGGTTGCTTGGACATAATCGATTATTAACTAATCAGCAAAAAATTATGAAAAGTTTAGGCAGAGTGAACTGTGATTTTTGTGGTTGTGCATGGGGAAACTTCTTTGATTCAAGTGTGTTGGGAAGCTTCTGATGAGGGCCGAATTATGTAGTATGATACTTGCCATGTAATGTCATTAATGTCTAGGAAATTTGATATATATTGTTTGTATTTTTTGACATGTAATGTCATTAATCTATATGAAACAAAGCTAGTTGATGCATAATAAATTATTGAAGTTTTTTTATGGTTTCGAGTCTTAATGTTATTAGTGGGTTTTAATTGGATAATTCATTTTGATTTCCTTTGTACTCACCTTCAATTATTGTCAAATTATAGGAAATATGTCTACCGATGACGATGAACCCGTAATTCAAATTGAGGATGAATTTGATGAAAGTTCAGTCCTTAGTTCAAAAAGAACAAAAACTTCTACGGCTTGGGAATTTTTTGAAAAGTTTGTGGATGATAAAAGACTCCCAAAGGTCAAATGCAAAAATTGTAATAAAATTTATATGGCTAGAGATGGTGGTGGCACTTCAAATTTGATAAAACATGCAGTGAAATGTGTTGGAAGACGGAATGGATCTTCTTATCCGCCACTGGATCAAGAAAAGTATAGGGAAAAGATTTCTAAGGTAATTGTCAAACACAATTATCCTTTTACTTTTGTTGAACATGAAGGGATAGTTGAGTTACTTTGTTTCTTACACCCTGATGTTAAGTCAATTACTAGAAATACTGCAAAGTCTGATGTTCTGAAGGTGTTTAGAAAAGAAAAGGAAAACTTAAAATCCTATTTGCAGTCGATTCCAGGAAAAATTTGTTTAACATCCGATCTATGGTCTGCAATAAATACATATCAATATATGGTTTTGACTGCACATTTTGTTAATAGGAATTGTTAATAGGATTGATAGCTGAAGGTACTTATTTTCATGTTAGATGTGGAACACACATCTTAAACTTAATTGTTCATGATGGTTTAAAGGTGATAGATGGATCTTTGGATAAAATTAGGTTGTGTCTGAAATATGTAAGAGGCTCAGAAGCTCAAAAGATAAAATTTGCATCTTGTTTAGAGCAACTTTCAAATGTGACTTCTAAGCAAGTTCGTCAAGACTTACCTACTAGGTGGAATTCCACTTATCTGATTCTTGAGACTGCTATAGGTCAACGAGAAGCCTTTACCCTCCTAAGCGATATTGATCCCTATTTTGATTGTTGGTTATCAAACGAGGAGTGGGATGAGGTAAAAACCATAGCTGATTTTTTGAAGCCATTTTATGATATCAATGTGTTTTTTTCAGGTAGCACTTATCCAACCGCCAACCTCTATTTTAGTGGTGTGTGGCGAATTCATATGAAAATCAAGGAAGTTGCATGTGTTGATCATAGTGAGTTTGAGAAACAAAATCAATTATGTTGCATGGCTAGAAGAATGAAGAAAAAATTTAATAAATATTAGAATTCTTATAGTGTTGTGCTATATTTACTGTCATCTTAGATCCTAGATATAAGTTACAGTTTGTTGAGTGGTGTTATGTGAGGTTGTTAGGTGGTGAGGGAGTACAAGTTGCAAAGGTGATTTTTGATAAGTTGAAAGCTTTTTTTCAAGAATATCTCAAGTCCTCAAATGAAGCAAGCACTTCATCTTCCCAAAGGTCAATTAGAGGTAGTCCAAACATTCTCTCAAATGACTTGCAGGATTTTGGGAGTTACGAAAGTAAATTGTGTGGACCATCAAAAGATGAGTCTGATTTGGAAACTTATTTGAATGGAAAAAAAATTGATCATGAGCAATATGCTGATTTGGATGTTTTGCTATATTGGAAAGCAAATGAGGGTAAATATCATAAACTTTCTATATTGGCACGTGACCTTTTGGGCATTCCAATTACTACAGTTGCATCAGAATCAACATTTAGTATAGGTGGACGTATACTTGATAAGTATCGAAGCGCTCTTTTACCCGAAAATATTGAAGCATTGTTGTGTATACATGATTGGCTTTGTGGAACTCCAGGTTAGTATCTACAATATTTCCATTTGTATTCTTTTCATTTATATTCTTTTTTAATTAATGTATGTTTAATTGTTTTCTATTTTGATTCTCTTTTGTAGCTGCATTTGATTTTGATGGACCCGGTTTTGTTAAGGACCTTTCAACCTTCTTTTCCACAACATGAGGTTACTTGTTTGAGAATTTTTTCTTTTCACCCAAGGTACTATTACATCATTCGTACACAATCTTCATGTTAAGAACTATACACAAAATACACAATCTTCATGTTAAGAATTATGTTTCTTCTAACTGTGCTTTTGATGAAAATTATAGCTTTTGATTTTGATGATGGCATGATCATGATGAATGATGTGAACTGTGTTGTTTATATAGTTGTTGTTTATCCATTTCACCTTAAAATCCCATCAACAAGAGTCATACGCTGCTTTTACAATCAAGATTTTGCTATGGAAGCACATTTCTATTACCCCAACAAGAGATAGGTTAAGACCTCAAATGATAGGCAATAGATAATACACTTAACAACTTAAATTCAAGTCTAGGACATGCGATACAATGAGTACTTTTTTCTATAGAGACAGGAATAAACATTAAGCTAGACAGGAATTGAATTTCTGTTGTAATTTGAGTTAGTGTTATGAGATTGAAAAATGTTTTGAAGTGCAATTTGAGTATGAGCAAGTTATGTGATGTAGTTCTATGATGATGATGTTGCAATATCAAAATTAGTCGGAATGCAATTCGTTTTAAACTTGAAATTTTGTTGTGATGCAATCAGTTACACTTTAATTAGTTTGCAGTTAACACGACACTGTTTTGAAATTGTGTTAATGAAATTCCTTTGAAGTTATGTTAGTGACTTATTATCTTGCATTTTAAATAGCTTCTCATGATGTAGAATTTTCATGATTTTCTCTTTCTGTGTTAGATTAAAGTTAAGTACTTTGTTTAATCAAACTTGTAATTTTTGATCTCATAATAGATCTTGCAGATTGGTATTGATATGCTACTAGTGTAGAGGGATGTTAAACCAATTATGCTTTGCACTGCCAATGATATACAAGGGTGGAAAGTTTTTTCATGATCTGCTACTAGTGTAGAGGGATGCTAAACCAACTATGCTTAGTACTGCCAATGATTTACAAGGGTGAAAAGATTTTTCAAAGGGATTCAGGGTTCTTCTCCTTGAAGGAGACAACAATTTTACCACTGAAATAAGAATAAAACTTGAAGACAAGATTGTTAAATTTGATTTTATTTTTTAGAGACTTCATTAACACTAATTCATTAAGATTGTGAAATTTGTGTTAAACAAAAATTGTATCATTTTAGACCAGGGTATGTACAATTTACTTCTTAGAACAATACATTTTTCCATTTACTTCTTAGAACAAAAATTATATATATATATATATATATATATATATATATATATATATATATATATATATATATATATATATATATATATATATATATATATATATATATATATATATATATATATATATATATATATATATATATATATATATATATATATATATATATATATATATATATATATATATATATATATATATATATATATATATATATATATATATATATATATATCCTTAATTATTTTTAGGATGACTTCATCACTAATTTCTTAAATAGTTAAGAATAATTCAAAAAATAATTAAGAATGATTACTTAAAAGATTTGTATATATTATAAAAATAATAAAGTTTTACATTAAGAATAATTATTTAAAAGATTTACTTATATATATATATATATATATATATATATATATATATATATATATATATATATATATATATATATATATATATATATATATATATATATATATATATATATATATATATATATATATATATATAATTGGAATGTGAAGAGAGAATAATTTTTTTTACAATTAAGAATAACTAAAAAAATCGTTAAGAATATTTAAAAAAATGATTAAGAATATTAATTTTTTTTGTGAAGTCTAAATTTTTTTAAAAAAATAATTGAGAATATTAATTGTTTTTATGAAATTTAATTTTTTTTATGAAATTTAAAAAATAATTCAGAATATGATTTTTTTGTAAAATT